GCCTTTTTAGCGTATAGATAGCGTATATAGTTATATACTTAGCTTAGTAAGCCTACTCTTTACATTACAACAAAGCTACTCTATAAGTCTAAGGTTTAAATCTAGAGGTAACCTTAGCTTACACACGCAGTAGCGTATAGAGACTAAGTAGTACTTAAGTAACTTTACCTAAGTAAGAGAAGTATTATTATAGGCTAGCGCTCTAGAAGCTAAGACTTTACCTTAGTAAGTAATTGTAGAAGTAATTATATAGGCTTAAGTATTAACTACGCAAGATAACGCCTAGCTTTATTATCTTATACTCTGCCTTTTTAGCGTATAGATAGCGTATATAGTTATATACTTAGCTTAGTAAGCCTACTCTTTATAGTTATAAAGTTAACTAAGTTCTTATAATCTATAAATATTATAAGTTCTAAGTAGCTTTTAGCGTATACTCTCTAATATTCTAGGTAGATAATAATAGCTAGAAGCTTTTTATTATAAACGTTATATTATTCTTCTAGCTCTAAGAACTTACGTAAGTAGTAGGTAATTAAGTACTATTTACCTTTGTATAGTTAGCTAGCGTAGCCTCTAAGTATAAAGTCTAATACGTTAGTCTTAAAACGTAGTAGTTATTCTAATTAGAATATATAGAAGTTATAAGAAGCTACGCTATATTAAGTAGATAGTTCTAGTTATATAACGTATAACTTAGCGCTAACTAAAGTAGTAAAGTACAAGGCCTATAAGAGGCAAGTTATACGTGTAAGAAGAACCTTTTTTCTCTTATCTTTCTTCTTCTATATATAGAAGCAAATGTATACTTATTAGTAAGCTTCTTTCTACCTATAATAGTATATAGATAGCTTATCTACTTTAATAGTTAAGGTAGTAAAAAGCCTCTCTAAAAGCGCTAAGATAATAGTGTATACTTTAGTGTTATTATAAAAGTAGATTACTAAGCTTAAAGTAGCTAATAAGACTACTACGTAACGTAAGTTATATAAAAGAAAGTAAATAAAGAAAGAAAGTACTCTTAAAGTTACTAAGAGAGTACGCTTAATAACTCTAAAGAAGTTTAGAGTATATAGTAATAGAAAGAAGGTAAAAAAGAGATTATATATTAAAGTAGGTAAACTATCTTAAAGACGCTATAAACGCTATAGTAAGACTAGATATAACTTACGCATATATTAGTAAGATATAGTAGAAGTTTCTAATTAATTTAGTCTATTATAATTTCTAATTATAAGTGTATATAGTTCTATACTATTATATATAGTTATAGTTTTAGTAGAGTCTTAGTAAAAGCTAGCTACTTGCTTATTCTAGCTACTTACTATACACCTACGTTAATAGAGATTTTCTACTATAAACTACTATCTAGAAGCTTTTTTATCTTCTTTACCTTCTACCTACTTTATATAGATAGCCTAAGTATAGCTACTTATTCTAGAAGTTATAAAGCGTTATTTACTTATTAGAGTGTATAATTAACTATAGATATACTATAGTATTACTTTATAAATAGTCTTAGTTAGTTTTACTTTTAAAGGCTTTATATAGACTAGCTTATTAATAGAAATACTAAATTTAAGTTCTTTAGCTAGTAATTTACTTTCTAAATAGCTTTAGTATAGGTAGAAAAAGTAATAAAGGTAGAAAGAGTTGCTCTAGATAGTATAAAACGTATATTTTTATAGTTAGAATTCTACTTAGTAGACTAGGCGTTAATATTACTATTAAACGCGTTAAATTTAGCTATTTTTATAGTTATAAATAAGTATTTAGATTAATATATTTCTATATAGATAGAATATATTTAAGATTACTAGTAGGTAACTAGCGTTACTAGACTCTAAAACTTACCTCTATAATAATGATTATAATATAACTATACTATTATTTTCTAAGATTTTTAGTATTTTAGAATTATAAGGCTCTAATTACTAGTTATTAAGTAATAAATATATTATAATAGAAAGATATTAGTAGTGCAGCGTAGTATAGAAATTTTAAGATCTTAGTATTTCTTACTAGATAGTTTCTAAACTCTAGTTTTAGTACTTTTATAAAGGCTATATAGGCTACCTATAGAAAGCTACCTAAATAGTAATATTATTAAATTAGGCTTTTAAAAGATACTTAAAAAGTAGAAGATTATTTAATTATAACGCCTTATTATCTTAAAATACGCCTAGTAAGCTACCTTAAGTAGTCTTACGTACAACGTAGCGCCTAGTAAGTTACTTATATTACCTAAAAATATTACTTAATTAGGTAATAATATTGCGTTAGGTATTAATTACTATAAATTTTTTAGTAGGTTACCTGCGCCTAGAGACTATATTATTCTAATAATTTACTTCTATCTTATTTTATCTTTTTAGAGGCGGCTAAATAGCGCATAGAGGCGGCTGAATAGGTTTTGCCTTTAAAAAGCCTATTCTTATTCTTCCACAATTCTTGGAGAGGCTTGCCGTACTAGAGCTCTATTAACGCGACACTAAGCGCGTACAAAGCCTGATTACGGATGATGTGATTTATTGACTTGGGCATTCCAGCTTTAGCAGTTGGTGCGGTACGACTGAAGTCTCATGACACAAAAGGTTGGTCGTACATGGTTATTCCGGGTCGCTTCACGAAGAAGATACTGTCCTTACCCTAGCACTGATCAAGCCATGGGGTTTCATGAAGCTGCAAAACACTCGAAGCAAGTGTGACTGCTAATTTCAAGCGATCGCGACGAGCGAAATCCGTGTCGTTAAAGCTCATGTGTAGCGAAGAAACCGACCATGTATCAGGGTCGAGAGGCATCTGTTTCGTTGGGTATATGTGCACGCCATACTTTTGCTTCGCAATCTCGCTAGCAAGCAAAGAAAAGCAAACTTCGCGCTGTGGTTTCTGGAGCTCCGAAATTGCAGCACACAAGTCTTTTATGGGCTGTCTGTTCGGACTTGCTTCCAATGCTGCTTGCACAGCCTTCCGAATATTCCGTGCTGCAAACTGAACACCTTTAGTTTGCTGGACATGCGGTGTAGTGTCTGGAATAGGATCGACTCGTACATCCGCCTCCTCCCAGGACCAAGCACCAGTCTGTCTTGATTGCTCAGTTGCATGATCCCTGTTGTAATGGAAAAGAACGTGGAATAGGTCACGCATCATATGCGCATCATCGTCCTCAGCCTCATCACTCGATACGGCCTCGATGCGTGCCTTCAAGCGCAGACTGACGGTATGGTGCGCCGAGCATGGGCAATCCTAACCTGCCTTTAGCGCTGAGTGGAAGCTGTCTGCTCTCTCGTTGATCATACCGAAATCCGGGACTGACAGGCGATGCGGTGTGTGGGTCTCGATGTACGTGGTCTGATTCGTTGAGCGATCGAGGGTGAGGAGGTACTCGTAGAACGCGATGCCGTTAAGCTCTTCTGAGATCTACAACTTACTTTATCTGTATGACCATTCGCTCACTCCACTCCATACAATGGCGGAAGTTCACTGATACTGAGAATCTTCCAGGGTGCGCGATGAGGTGGTAGAGTACTGCCATCTTCAGTACGAACCGTACCTGGCCGGAAGGCTAGTGTGGGGACATGACGTCAGCCAGGAAACCCCAGCACGACAACATCTCCCACCTCTTCTTTCACGCCATGAACACGAATCTCCTCAACCCAAAGCCCGTGATTGTGTCATATTGATACTTGACACCGAACTTGTCGAGAAGGCCTCGCTATGGAGGATATGTGATCGCATGAAACAGCCACCAAACTCGGTTTCCGGCGCGTTTTCCTTATTCTTCAATCATCCTTTTATGTCAAATACTTTCACTGCGTAATTCTATCTACCTATGCTTGTTAGTTGTCACTTTGCGTCCATGTTCACGAGAAATGCGGGTCCAATAAGTGACCTGCTCCGCTTCGCTGCTGGTGCGCAATTGTGAGTGCGATAGTCATGGTTTGTCGTTACGCGAAGCTCAACTTGCGAGCCGCAAGTCATGTCTCAGTCGCTTCGTAGCTAGATGTATATGGACGTGAACACGATCGCAACGAGTGCACCAGTTTCACGACCGACCGCGCGCTTCCTCCTCTAAGTCATGTACGCGCTGTCTCTCTTCCTCAGATCAAGGCCTCGCGTTCACTCTTAACTCAGTCTTCTATGTTCAGCGGTGTTGATGATTTGTAAATACTCAAGTTACCCCGCCTTTTGTCATTCTCGCCATCTCCGGTCCAAAGACTTGTGAATCAGCGGTCTTGTCAATTGAATGTCACCATATTGTTTCTTCCTCGATCGACGGCGTAAAGCAATCGTGTCAATGAAAAAAAAAAGGTGTTCTGCGTTTCCCTCCCGGTTATGTTGAATGCCGGACGTTGGGGTAAGGGTAGAACGGGCGCTGGTTTTCGACCGTCCTCAAAGGCACCAGCGAGCCTCCAAGTAGACCTCTAGAGATCTCCGTATCGTCTCCGTCGCTCACCACCGGTCGTAGATAAACTCGCACTGGCGAAACTGTTGAGAGTCTCTGGTTCAAGGGCTTTGTTCTCTCCCCACGATTGATCCTTTGAGTGGCTATTATGCCGACTCGACGCTTCCACCCGGTGAGCGAAGTGATGTGGCTGGAGGGTAATTCCAGGCGGCTATTGCACATTTAGTAGAACAGGCGGGTTGGATGAGCACTCACAGTGTAGTGCGATCAGGGAGGGTGTTTGAGTAGAGGGTTGAGTAGAGGGTTGAGTAGAGGGTTGAGTAGAGGGTTGAGCAGAGGGTTGAGCAGAGGGTTGAGGAGTGCGGTTGACATTGGGAACGCGAAGCGGTAGAAAGTAAAGAGAGGAAATGGGTGAGACAAGTGGTATTTGTAGCGGGTGTGTGGGCGACTGTGCGCATTAGCGCGCCTTGAGTGGGTGACGCAATATTGCAAACGGTCGCGGTGTTGACACGCCTCTCTCACTTTGGATCTCTCTCTCACCGCGAATACTCCTCTCACCTTCAGACATCTCTTGGATCTATCGACGGCGACCGCAATGACGCCTAAAGACGCAGCCGCAGCTGCGGATCCAGCTTCAATTGAGCGCGGTCACGAATCGCCTACAGTGAACTCTGGGGTGGTAGTATCCAATCCAAACAAGGCCGACAGCGCAGATCAAGATGAGGCAGCGCGCAAGGACATGGAGAGCGCCGGTCAAGCATCGACAAAGCGCCGCCGTACATCGTCCGTCTTAGAAGAGGAGACAGCAACGCCAAAGAAGGCGAAACTCACTAGCACGACGGCTTCTACCAAGGCTCCCATCCTCTTGGACACTCTCCCAGCCGAGATTTTAGACGACATTATGGACAAAGTAAGTTTTCGCGAGAGGCTTCCAGGAGCCTGGGCAGTACAAAGAAGTGTGTTGCTAACTTACGCAGGTACTCGATGAGCCTGAAGAGTTCGACACCGTTTACCAAATCATGTGCAAATCCAAAAAGCTCCACATATCCGCCGGGCGAAGCGTCTACCGGGACGTCGTTATCGACTTCGATGAGCATTGCGTCTGGGACATTGCGAGCAGGATGAAGAAGTTCTGCACAAAGTCCCTCCGGTTATTCGGATTGGACAACGACGACGTTGAATACGATCTAGAGAACTTGTTCCATGATCTTCGCAACGTACCGCTCAAAGAGCTCCAGCTTCCCGGGCTCCCTGCAAGTCCGAAATTCTGCGACATCTACCAAGAGCTGTTCGAGGACGACTCGCCACTGAAAGGTAGTCTGAAAACGCTGTACTTGCCCTGGGCTGTCCACAATACCCCGAACACACGTCCTCTGGTTGATTCTATCGTCCAGTACACCTTTCAGCCAACTGGTAGGGACACCAAAGACGCAATCACGATCAGCGGCGGAGGCTACGAGGCTAGTACTATCAAGCCCCAACAAGGCACACCAGTCAGTTTGTTTGGCGGAATCCTCACTGCGTTTGGATACCCTCTTGGCGGAGAGTTCGAGTCCGTATCGTGGATACATGCGTGGCCGCAGCCCAGCTGCAGAACTCTGTTCAAGATGGTTCCTGCACCCCCTCCCACTGTACCATTCTTCGGAGTCACGCGTCTGCAACTTGGGCAATTTGACTTCAGCGGTGCCTTCCCTCTCGACGCCTACAAAAGTATCGACCTCTCCAGTGTCCGCATGTTGGAGCTGAACGACTGCCAGAAGCTACCACTCGTTCTCAAACAGTTCATGGCTTCTACTATCAACATCGAGAAGCTTGAAGTGACTAATTGGGAATTCGCCGAGGATCAGTATAAAGAAAGCCCCAGTGGTGTGGAGGCATTTCTCGCTTCGTTCACTAGCTTGAAGCATCTCAAGGTCATTACTTTCACGCCATGGAAGCCCAGCCTAGTTCGGATGATCGGTAGCCATCCCAACTTGGAGTCATGTCATCTGAGCTTTGGGGAGAACTTCACCAACGTGGGTATGCTGAAGAAAGTCTTGGCTATCCGTCCCAACCTCAAGCAGCTCGGCTTCCGACACTTCATGTTTGGACTACCATGGAAACACGACGGCTTCGCTGGCAAGATACATGGTGTCACCGGAGCGCATATCAGGGGGTTTGACAACCACTTTGCCGCCTACGCCGAGGTTTTGACAAACTTCTCTGAACTGGAAAGTCTGGTTGCTTACTTTAAGCCGTATGACAACGACGGAACTTCTGCCAAGCCAGACCCAGGCAGCGACGGTACTTCTGAGGAGACCATGTATGGACGCCTATCTGATCGTATTCTGCAAAAGATACGAAAGGTAGCCAGTAAGGACGGTGTGGCGGTATCGAAGGTCGCAACTGTGGTGTTGCACGACAAGGCTCTGATAGGTGAATATGATCCTCTGCCAGGCAAGGATAGACATTTCAAGAGAAAGTACAAGTACCATGGTACTAGTGCGAAGATGGTCTTTCTCGATTAGATAGGATGGTAGCCACAGACACGTCTTGGATAGTTTCGGATAGTAGTGTCTACTTGATCAATACGACTTCAAAATTTCCTTCCATTCTAGTTGCCAGCAGCCAACCTCCAGCAGATGTTGACCAAAGCCGCCGTGGCAGTAACATGCGCAGCAGTCCTCGGCAAAGCCACGTTGCTCAGGTACGACGGGTAATGCACAAGCAACTTGGCGATGACATGGTAGCCCAGTAGGTTCACGATCTGTGCGTCTCGAGGCGCAAGGACCTGCGCCAGCGCGGCAGCAAGGGCGAAGCCTGCAATCACGATCACGTTAGCAATCTTTACTGACAGGGGGCACTGCGAGAAATTTCGACTTACCAGGGAAGTTTTCCATAAGCGCATAATGCGCACTCCTCAGCCTCAGTGGCAGCCCGTCGAGCTTGTGGATATGCTTCCTCGAATGTTCCAGGTCAAGACCTTCTTCTCGTCCCATGGCTTGTCCTGCTGCGGAGAGCGCGCCCGATGCGCCGAAGGTCCAGAATATGTATAGAGCTGAGAGGGCGGGGATTGCGCGTCCGGAAGTTATGGCTGTAGTCTGGATGTTGCTATCAGTACGATATCAGGGTAAAAGAATCGAAGACGTACGGTAACTCCTGGAATTAACTTGATGAGCGCGTGAACCAGCGATTGCGTGACGCTGTTCGGTTTTGTGAGGAAGGACCTATTTGCCCAGTCAGTTCCAGTCCGGTTTGACGGACGGCTTCGAGAGCCTGGGAAGACGTACGTAAGAGGTATGGCAGCGAGATACATAGGCGCAAAAGCCGCAATCATCGCACCCGAAGGATTAACACTACTCATCCATTAGCCATCGTTGCGATCTTCCTTTACAGCAACAATAGCTCACATGCCATTCTCAGCAGCCACCCGCTCAGCCTGGTCCTTCTTCTCCGCCGCAACACGCTTCACCTGTTCTTTCTTCTCGTCGGCCATATTCTCGGGTTTATGTTCGTACATGAAAATCCGTAAGTAGTTATCGCTCGGGAGTGGTAGACAATATGCAAGCACGCACGTCAGAAAGCTCCAGACCCACCTTGACTATATAGGCCGGCCAGGCTGCCAAACAATGGCCATTGTCGTTTCTAGACTGTGGCCTATCTATGACGTGGGGCTGAACCGGCAGGGAAAGGAAAGAGATGGTGGAGCGGAACTATATCCCTGGTTTGCGATTGGCTGGCGTGACTGCCACAACCGGATGACCCGCATGTCCGTGGTTCGGAAATGGGAGTAGCCGCCGTGGTTCTGCGGGGTCAATCGGGCGTTCGTGCAGGGTATTTGGAAGCATTAAAGTTGATAGGCGCTGTGTAATGTGAGGCTTGCTGCTTTCGTTATCCAGATGCAGTATCTAGACAGGTTATGTGAATGGAATATATTTGCTGTACGACCCTAACGTTTACCCTTCTCGAATTCACATGTGACAACACTTTCAGGAACCAATATAACAAAAAAGCAAACTCCATAAAGTAACACACGAAATCTAGACCACGTACAACATCCAAACACACGCAAAAGCAAACACGCCCGCGGAGCATCTACATCCCATACCCAACCGCCAACCTGACATCCTCCCTCTCAGCCCTCAACACCCCTCCATCATCATACTCCCCATGCCGCCTATGCTTCACCACCATCTTCCTCGCTCTCAAAACAAGATGCTCAAGCACCGCATCCTCCAAATCTACCTCAAAAGGATTGACATCACGGACCAGCATGACGAGTTGCGCGCGGGTTATGCTACGTGAGCGTGGAGCGTCGTTTGGGGTCAGCGACCAGCTTTCGGCGACGAGATCCCAGGTTCCGGCCCAGAGGTCGGTGACTAGGGTGTCGATTGCGAGGGCGACGTTGAGGGTGGGTGTGGGTGGGGCGGAGAGGGTGTGTGAGGTGGTTGATGAGTTTGATGAAGGGGATGGAGATGGAGATGGAGACGGGGAGCGGCGACGGCGGTGGAAAGAGCGAGGTGGTGGTGTACCGGATTCGTCAGCAGAAAAAGCTGCCGACGACGGCCGTGATGATGAGTGCGAAGACGAAGGCGTTCTATGGCGGCGAGGGCGATGCCCCTTTTCTTGTCTTGTTCGCTGGCGTCCACGCACATCTTCTTCTTCTGTATCGTCTTCTTCGCTGTTCTCATCCTGATCTCCATCGCTTTCCTCATCATCACCAACTCTCCCATTAAACAGCACAGCCCTACAACTCGGACAAGTGCCACTCGCCGCACTTCCAGACCTCAACCACTGCAGCAGACACGTTTCGCCAAACACACACTGACATTTCGGATGTGCAGTAATCTGAACGATTTGGTGGCGGTCCGTGCAACGCTGGCGACAGATGGAGCAGAGGACTTCTTGTAGGGTGGTAGGAGTGTGGATGTGGTGTCGGATGAAGAGGGCGCAGGATGTTGAGTCGGGGTGGTAGGGCATGTTGTGTAGATTGTGTTTGGTTGAATGATGTGTTTGGTATCTTGCGGTGGTATTTTGGTGTCTTGCTGGTGTCAGTATATCTTTACGTGTGAGCAAATGGTAGGGTAGATATATCGCTCTTGGTCGTAATCGGTCTAAGACTTTTGACGTCTAGAGACATGTATCTGAGCATGTCTTACAATGTCTTGCATGACGACAAGCGACTACAGCAGAGTAATGATCTAGAGCACCAAGACATGCGTTCGTACCAGAAGAGTCTTGCAAACTACCGATCTCGGTCTCAGAAGACAGTTTCTCAAATGCAAGTAGTACACTTCCAAGTCTTGACACCCCCAACACCAGCCTGTTCAAGAACAGATATTATGCCATTGTATGCTATTAAGTCGTAATTTCGTCGCTTTCATGCATAGACAATACCTATACAAAATGCTCCAGACATTAATGGGAAAAAGACCAAAATCTCTCACACGGAGACAGATACAAGAAGTATAGCAACTCCAGTCCCGCACACAGTGCGAGTAGTCGAGAGGGACGCTGATGATGTAAATGGAAAACGACAAAAAGGAAAAGAATCTGAAGAAGAGAGAAAGGGGAAGAGGGACAAGATACCCAGCAAACGCCTTTCCCGTACACTCCATGTGCTATGCAAGATATTCCCAGGCTGATGAGGCGACAACGCCCGATGGTCTCTCCGGGTAAAGCAAGCTTTTCAACATCTCCCAAACATATCATCAATCTTCTAGTCAAAAGATCTCGTGGCCCAACCCTCCAAACCCATCATCACCAACCTTGACCTTCTTGCCCTTGCTCTCCATCTCGCGCGGTATGCTAGGCACGTCAGGTACATCCCTACCATCAGGCACAACACGCACAGGCTCTTCGCTCTTCAGATTACTCCTCGAGAACCTTTTTGTGAGCCTCGAGCTAGACCGTCTGCCAGGACTCTTCTTGCTGGCGGTGCTCTTGACGCGCTTTATACTGCGCTCGGTGCGCTCCGACACTTCGGCTTCGGAGGCGGATGCAGCGGAGAGCATGTCGATGTCGCCTTCGGAGTCGGTGGGTATGGGTTTATACTCGCCATCCGAGTCGTGGATGGTGGCTTTGCGCTTCTTCACGATCTTGCCGATGCTGGCGGGGGGCTCAACTTCGACGGGGGTTGTGTTTCGTGATGGGTCTTCGTTTTCGCTCGGGGTGACGTCGGGGGTGGGTGGTGCGAAGTCGGGGATGCGTGGGACAGGCGGTATGTCGTTGTAAAGGACGGTCTGGAGCTCCTTCTTCGCAGAGGCGAGCTTGTACTCGAGATCGGAGACGCGCTTGGTGAGCTTCTTCTGCTTGTGCAGGTCTTTCTTGCTGGGGGTGTGGCGGAGGGTCGGCGTTCGCGGTGTACGGATTGGGGTCGCTGCCTCGGCCATGGCTGCGGTCAAGCCAAGCTGCATCTTCTCAGCCGCGACAGGCTGGGATGGTGTACCAAACTGCCGCGACCTCATAGCGGGTCGTACAAAGACCTTGGGTTGAGGAAGAAGACCCAGGTCCTTCGCTTCGTGGTAGGCGATTTCGGCATCCTTCTTGCGCTGGTCGAGTAGTTGCTGGTGCTGGTCCTTCTCCCGCTCCGCGTCTGCGTTCCCAGCTTTGCGCTTGCCCAGAACACTGCCGAACATGGAAGCGAACGCGCGCTGGAGGCGGGCATATGTTGTCTCTGTCGGCGCGGTTGCCGATGCCTGGACGCTTGTGCTAAAGCTGGATTCCGTGGGGGTCCCGCTACCAGAAGCAGCCCGCGAAGAAGCCGACTTGACCAGGCGGGGCATGCGGTTCGCAGAGCTCTTTCTCGACGTCGGCGGCTTCGCGTTCTCCTCGTTGAACTGCTCGATCAGCTCTTCGATGCCGATGTCTTTCCATAGCTCGTCCGGCGGCGGTCGTATGCTGCCGTTGGTGTTTGTGTGTTCCTTGAAGCGAGACGCGCGCGGCTGTGTCGACTCATCGGCGGCGTCGTCGCTCATAGCCAGAGCCGTTGCGCGTGTAATGGGCATCCGTCTGGGGTGCTCGCGGCGCTAAGATGCAGGAAGGTGGTGGAGATAAGGGAGCGCGCCTCGAGGAAGCGGCGAGGCGGCAATAAGGCGGAGAAGGGTCGAGGGTGTATAGCGGAGGAGCCTGCGTGTTTGTTTTGTGCAGAAATTAGTCGAGAAGTTGCATCGCTGGTTGCAGCGTCGGACACGACAATTACTGGCTGCGGCTTCCGAGGTGAGGAGGACCCTGTCAATGCGTGACTTGGCACCCACTCATTGCTCGCTACTCTCCACCACGGCCCGTGACACGTTGTCTACTATCGTTCACCGCTTGCAATTTTCATCTCTTCACCAGCACATCAGCCGGGAAATCTCCACAGTGGTCGGATGAACATGTTCAGTTTGTAGTATTACCGCTACTATACACTCAATCGACCGATCTATATGCAGTTCCACGGTACCATGACTCGCACAGGGTGCCTGAGTACCCGCGCGCTAGGAAAGCAACCATGCAATCACTGTCTAGGTTTCCTCGTACGGCCGCC